GATTGAAGGTATGACAAGTTGGAGCATCCGCTTTTCAGTTCCTTAGGCACTACTCATTACAATGATTTTCACCAGCCCAACTTTCCGGGGGCTTCCATAAAGAAAGGCGGTCCGAGGGAGCCTTGGCATGACGTCCACTGCGGGCTGGAAGGGCCGGTTGCTTGGGATGTCCTGTACAACTTTGAGCAAAGGTGGAAAAGGCAAGTTGGTAACAGGTTCTTAATTCCTCTCAACAAGCTTAACAAAATTCTAATCCACCCCACATCTACTACTATCTCATCAAGCGACGACACCGAAAATTGGTATCTTCAGCTGTTCCGATTCATCGATGGAGGGGTGGTTTCTGGCTTCCCCAAAAACCACACGGACGCGGCAGAAATAAGGCTTGTCACTGGCAAGAACAATGTGATCGACCGCAGCATTCAGGATGCTTATATTCACGCCATTCGCCGAGCCAAAAACTTCATCTACATCAAAAATCAGTACTTTCTCGAAAGCTCATTCGGATGGAGGTCTTCGGATATTAAGGTTCAGGACATCAACGCTTTGCATCTAATACCTAAAGAGCTCTCACTGAAAATCATAAATAAAATTGAAGCAAGGCAGAGATTTTGTGTCTACATTGTTATCCCAATGTGGCCTGAACGTATACCTGAGAGTAGCTCTGTTCAGGCCAAATTGGATTGACAGAGGCGAACAATAGAAATGATGTATTCTGATATCGCTCAAGCTCTTCAAAGACAAGGTCTAGACGAAGACCCCAGGGATTATTTGACGTTTTTCTGCCTTGGGAACCGAGAGGAACCTGGGAATTTAACAGAATATAAACCTCCAGAGAAACCAGATCCTAACACTAATTACAGTAGAGCCCAACAAGCTCGACTTTTCCTGATTTATGTTCACTCTAAGATGATGATTGGTAAGCACTTAAACAATCTTCGCATTTTTTTTTTATTAATTTGATATATGCTATACTTTGTGTCAAAAATGTTATATAAGAAATGCTTTGTCTTTGGCAGTTGATGACGAATATAGTTGGATCCGCTAACATCAACCAAAGATCCATGGATGGTGCGAGGGACTCGGAGATTTCCATGGGAGCATTCCAACCACGCCATGTAGCCAGCATGGAACCAGCCAGAGGCTAGATATACGGCTTTCGATTGGCGCTCCGGCGCGAACACCTCGGCGTGTTCTTGGAGAACACTTTCAATCATCCTGAGACTGTGGAATGCGTCCAAAGGGTGAATCAGATTGCTCAAAGGAACTGGGAACATTACTGTGGCGACACCTTTTACGGAAACCTCCCGGGACACCTGCTTCGCTACCCCATTGAAGTGTCCGAAACTGGAGCTATCACTACTCTTCCAGGATTTGAGTTTTTCCCTGACACCAAGGCCAAGTCTTGGGAGCCAAATCTGATTACCTTCCTCCAATCCTCACGACCTAATAGCAGCTGATATATACATACATATGTGTGTGTGTATATATATATATACACACACACACACACATTCAAGTTGTTTGAATATTGTATAGTGTTGTGGTACATATAAGTGATTGATTGACAGTGCTGTCACACTATTGTGTATATAAGCATAGGAATATGTATATAATTGTATAGTTAAAATGCAGTTTTTTCTCAATTCTTCTGTATATATCTGATGTTGCTTCTTTCCTCATCAATATATTGTTATCATACCCAATGTATATAGTACGTTAATGGTTGAAAATGAACTATTTGTTGCTGCAGCAGAAAAAAGAAACAGATTCGTTCCTAAGAGATAACCAAAGCTTGGCATTCATGTTTCTTTTTTGTCAGAAAATTGATTATATTTAAAAATTTCAAAGAGCTACCGCCACCGCACACACATTACTCATGCACCCCATAAAATGTTAAAAGGTCCATCAATAATTATGCTATGGGTTTCTTTTGACTCTTGCGGTTTGAATAATGTGAGACTTTCGTTTTAAAAAAATATCCATGTTCATAAATTCTCAAAAACATATTACCATTGTGGATGAGAATCATTAGTGTCCGTTTAAAAGATAGGTTCAAATCAATAGTTTGAATTAGAATTCAAATTTTATAAGAAAATAATGTAGTAAAACTTTTTAAACTCAAATTTTTTATGAGAAAAACCACAGTTTAAACTCATATCGGTTTGAACTCAACCTTCGAACATACTCAAGGTTCAAACCTCGGTTAAATAATTTGTGTTTTTTCCTGTAAAAATTTGAACTTTGCTTCAAACTAATTTGATCCCATAAACCAACGTGTTTTTTTTATTATTATTTTCTTTGGAGTTTGCTGGCAAAGTAACGTTACGTCAACTTAGGTGAGGCAACGAAGACTTTTCATCTTGGGGGCATCGATACCTTTTTTTTATTCCCTCTCCTTTTTTTTTTTCCCAGAAAAATCAGTGTGGAAATATTATCCAATTGTTAACGATTAATACAAATTGGATGTGCTTTCTCAATCATCTTTATGTACATTGTCCGCTGCTTCTTTTCCTCTAACGGCACTTTCCAGCAGCGTCTTCTCATTTATTTTGGTAATAACAGCAAGTAGTATAATTCTCATTTTGAAATGGATCGAGAGTTTTTTTTTTTCCTTATTTATTACACAGAAAACTTTCTTTCAAGAAAAAAAATCATGAGTAAAACTTTACAGAAAGAAGAA